ACTGATCAGATAAAAGGATGATTTTCATAAATAATGACTGATACTATATTGCAAGCAATCGAAGGGACTAACATTAGGTTTCGAACCCTAATTTATGGACACTCGTACAAGGGAAGATAACACAAAAGTACGATATGCATGGGGCCATTTTTCATGTCAACTGATGTGTCAACAAGACATTCGCCCCCTGAATGTCTCTAGGCAACGGTGATTCGGAGTTCAGCAGGGCTCAAGCAATAAGCTCAAGACACACCCCCCACACACATCTAATACTATTAAACGTTATCCATTAATACACAACAATATCCAAACAAGTGTAGTTCGTGCATTATTAAGATCCAGATGTCAAATTTCAGGGTGTTAAGTCTGAAGTCTGAACCCATCAAACAAACCTCCACAGGCCCCATCGGTTACGTCGTTTGGACACCGTTGCTAATTCTAAGCTAAACAGCCCTTGTGGTTGGGGAGTTAGACACCTCAAAACTAATCCCAATCATGCAGCAAGTGTAGGTCAGAGAGGACTAATTAGATTAGACCTGCAGCTAAATCTTATGCATTATTGCCATGACGCCACGCCTTGGCCCCTCCTCCAGCTCCAAGTCGACCATGATGGCATGATGTCACACACGCCAGCTTCCTTCCACAGTCGCAGCTAGCACCTCCTTAGGTTAACCTTTTGAGGCTTCCAAATTGCACCCTAATTTTTCTTTTTTAGAAAAGGAGGATTACCTCCGGCCTCTGCAAAATTGCACCCTAATGAACATACTAAGCATTACTACTGTAAGCATCTATCATGAAACGTATCATAGTGCAAATGCTACTAAAACAACAAGGTGCAGATCAATGAATAAGGTGCAAATCTTGATTCTATATGTGCAATAATTGTCTGATTAGTTTCCATTTATTTCCCTTTGTTCTTGAGTGAGTGATGAGCAAAGTCCTTTTGCGTATTCGCGAAAAAGAGAGCCCTTTTGGGCCACTCTCACAATCTTACCGGCTTCACATTTCAAGGGGTTAATTGGATAAATGCCACTCGAATTGTGGCGATTCCGAGAAACGCCGTGGCATTTTTCAAAGTTTGAAAATAACAGTGGAGTTTCTCGGAATCGCCAAGATTCAAGTGGCATTTACCAAATTAACCCCATTTCAAAACACGGCCTTTCAACCAAGAGACCACGTCTTGGTTGATCTGTCTATATATGTCATCCCACATCTCCTCCAATCCCCCAATTCCAAGCTTGCTCTATATTAATTGCAAACTTTTGCGACTAGCTACATGGCCTGCGAGGTTTTGCGCACCAAGGGAATGGCTGAGGAGAGGTCGACGACGGGGAAGGCCGGGCTGATCACCAAAGCAACTGGACCGGTGCTGGAGTACAACGGCAAGGAACCGCAAGCCAGCAAAGGGCTGCTTCTCGGTGTACGTCGGCGTGGGCAGGCAGCGGTTCGTTGTGAGGACGGAGTGCGTGAACCACCCGTTGTTCTGGGTGCTTCTGGAGAAGGCTGAGGAGATGTTTGGTTACACAGCCACAGGGCCCCTTGATCTGCCCTGCAACTCTGAGGCGTTCGCCGGGGTGCTGGAGCAGATCGAGGAGGAGATGCAGATGGCGGCGGGGAGGAGATACGGCCTCCCCAGGGGTATTCCTACCAGCTGCTCGGCACCGGTCAGACTGTCATCATCAGCCAATCGTAGCAGTACACTGGATTGGCATTGAATGATGCCGAGTTGATGAGCTCCGAGTTTCTATTGAACTCGCATTTCCAGACTATCATGTGCACATTTTGAAGCAACCTTAGCATTCTCAAGTATGATAAACAACATCATCATATACTGAAAGCCAATGTTAGCTGTTCATGTGTGTTCACCTTATAAGTTGTAGTAACTGTAGGTGAAAATGTTATACAGATACATGATATGATTTTTAAATTTGCAATGTCTATATATGCAATAATGCAATAATTCCAAAGTAGAACCGCGCACTTCAATTCATCTCAGCACAGATTGCAAGTTGGAGCTGCTATGTTTATAATATATAATTAGATGGAAGTACGCTAACATGAATCAACCTTGGTGTTTTTGGTAGTTCATCGGTTATGCAAGTATCTACTATCTACTGATTTGCTATCAAAATTTAGAGAGCCTTAACTCGTATAAACCAATTTTTAAATCTCAAAGCATGAATAGAAACATGTTTTCTGACTAGACACATGGCACACCAATGGAGATTTGGCACCAATTAATTAAGTGGTTTAATATCAACAAAAAACTAACAGCAAATGAGCACCAAAAAGGGGAAACTCGTAGTATCATCAAATGTAATATTACAGCACTCAAATGCTACTATTATTAAAGCAACAAGGTGCATCCTACCAAACATTCAACGAATAAGGCGCAGAGATTTGGAGATTCTCAACATGCAATAATTGTCTGACCAATTTCCATCCATTTACCTCTCTTTTTTAATGGAGTGATAAAAAGTCTTTTGCGTATTCGTGAAAAAGAAGCCTTCAGGTCGCTCTCACCGGCTTCGTATTTCAAATACGGCCTTTCGACTGATAGAACCCGTCTTTGTCGATCAGCCTATATATACCATTCCACCCCTTTCCTTCCCACCTCCCAAATTCCAAGCTTGCTACACATTCTTTGCAAATTTGCAACTAGATATAGCCTGCGAGGTTTTGTGCGCAATGGGCATGGCTGACAAGAAGTCGGCTGCAAGGAAGGCCGGGCTAATCACCAAGGCGCTGGACCGGTGCTGGACCACGCCGGCGAGAAACAGCAAACCGGAGGAGGGCTGCTTCTCGGTGTATGTTGGCGCCGGGAGGCAGCGTTTCATGGTGCGGACAGAGTGCGTGAACCACCCACTGTTCCGAGCGCTGTTGGAGGAGGCCGAGGAGGTTTTTGGGTATGCGGATGCAGGGCCCCTCGAGCTTCCCTGCAACGCCGAGGCGTTTGCCAGGGTGCTGCAGCAGATCAAGGAGGAGAAGCAGATGGTGGCAGGAAGGAGGTTCGGCCTTGCCAGAGGGAACTCCTACCGGCTGCTCGGCACCAGCCGGTCTGTCATCATCGGACGGTCGTAGCATACGAATTGGATTGGAATTGGATGATGGCGAGTTGATGAGCTCTAAAGTTTCTGTTGAGCATTCCCATTATGATAAACAACACCATCATATACTGGGCAATGTTAGATATTTTTCTTCTTCTTCTTTTTTCTATTTTTGTAAGGTAATGCTGGATGTTGATGTGTGTTCCCATCCTAAGTTGTAGTAACTGTCGGTGAAAGTGTTATACAGATGCACATTCGAACCTGTAACTCTTGTGACGTCCATATATGGCACAATGTCGCAACTCCAAAGTGGAATCACGCAATTCAATTCATCCCACACTGATTGCAAGTGGTTTAATGGAAATACGCTAAGATTAATCAACTATGGTGTTTCTCCGCATATCATCTGCATGCAAGTATCCACTGATTTGCTACCAAATTTGTTTTAAGTCCATTTACACACAGGATTACAGAGCCTCAACACAAATGTCAATTTTTTTTAATCTCAAAGCACCAATAGAAACATGTTTGCTGGCTAGACAATTGGCACACCAATGGAGTTTTGGCAGCAATTAATCTAATATCTACAAAAACTAACCACAGACAACAACCATAAACAGGAAAACTCAGTTATATAGGTTTGGCTAAAAGGTAGGCAAAAAATCAATGAGCAGTAGTTTAGTAGGTGATGTAATCAATGAGCAGTTATATAGCAACTGGCCCAGTTGGATGTGCAGCAATCAGGGCAAGCTTAACTCTTCTGGGTATTCTTTGACCCTTTAAGAGGACTGAAGAATACCAAAGCATGGGATCAAGTATCAGTAAGGGGGAAAACAGACACTGCAAATTACCGAGTATTAGAATTCACCAAAACAAATAAAAATTAACTGCTTGATCCAGCCTTTTATTATTATTTGAGTTTGCGACCAATCAGTTGAACACAGGCATCGTACAGCAACAATACTACCATAACTAAACATAGGGATATTCTCTGAATATCCAAAGACAAAGCGATAGATCATCTATGACGTGTCTCAATAAACAGCCTTTACAGCCGTGACTATATGGCCTTTGTTGAACTTTTTTGTCTCTTTATTCTATAGCATGGAGAAGCTAGAGTCATTAGTTTTGGCTCCAACTAATACTGGTACTCCAAGGGTTCCCGAGACGTAAACTCTAACCTCACTTTTATAAACTAACATTTTGTGACCCCCCGGGACAAATGGAACCATTAGGCAGATGCAGAGATCTTCATATAATATTGCCTTAACCATTGACTAATTAATCCAGTGCTAACTTTTGGAGGACTTGAAGCACCAACAAGAGTGCATCAGCTCTAGAAAATGGGTCAAATGTCCATCTTAACTTGATTCCTCTAGAGTCAAAAGCTGGATCCATATTGTTTTCACTACCTCGAGCTTATCTGAAAAGCTGGAGTCAAAAGAGCTTGGTGAAACCCCTGGTAAATAAAGTTTAGAAGCAAAACCAACATATCTTAAACATAATGGTATGTAAAAGTGGATCGAACTTTCGTCAGGCAGTTTTGGAGAGGAAAAGTCTACACTATGGCAGCAATTCTATAAGATGAAACTTATTATTGTAAAATGCTGCTAAAACAACAAGTCACATCCTTCTAAAGATCAATGAATAAGGTGCAAAGCTTGATTCTATATGTGCAATAATTGTCTGACTATTTTCCATCACTTTCCCACTTTTCTTTAATGAAATGATGAGCAAGTCTTTTGCGTATTCGCCTTTTAAAACAGCTTTTGGGTCACTCTCATCATCTTCATATCTCAAATACGGCCTTTCCATCAAGAGACCACGTCTTGGTGGATCCGTCTATATATATCATTCCACCCCTTTCCTCGTCACCTCCCAATTCCAAGCTTGCTACACTTTTTCTTCTTTCTGCAAAATTGCAACTAGTTAGCCTGCTAACTTTTGTGCACCATGGGCATGGCTGATAAGAGCTTGGCGAAGAGGAAGGCTGGGCTGATCACCAAGACGCTGGACAGGTGCTGGAACATACCAATGGGGAACAAGCCTGCAGAGGGCTGTTTCTCTGTCTACGTCGGTGCCGGGAGGCAGCGGTTCGTGGTGCGGACAGAGTGCGTGAACCACCCGCTGTTCCGGGCGCTGCTCAAGGAGGCCGAGGAGGTGTTTGGGTACGCAGACGCAGGGCCCCTCGAGCTACCCTGCAACGCCGAGGCGTTCGCCGGGGTGTTGGAGCAGATCGAGGAGGAGAAGCAGATGGCGGGGGGAAGGAGGTGCAGCCTTGTCAGGGGGAAATCCTACCGGCTGCTTGGCACTGGTCAGGCTGTCATCATCGACCGGTCGTAGCATATGCATTGGATTGGATGATGCCGAGTTGATGAGCTCTGAGTTTTGTTGAGCTCGCATTCTGGGACTATCATGTACACATTTGGAAGCAACCTTAGCATTCCCAAGTATGGTAAACAACATCAGCATATACTGGGCAAATGAGATACTTTTCTTTCTTCTTCTTTTTCTATTTTGCATTTTTTTGTGAGAAGGCAATGTTAGATTTTGATTTGTTTTCCCCTCCTAAGTTGTATTATCTGTCGGTGGAAGTGTTATACAGATATATAAAGAATCTATAAGTTTTTTATGCCCATATATGGCATCATGTTGCAATTACCGAAAAAGGCTTCCGCCCCGCTTTATATTATAAAGCCAACCGCACAATAAACATTCAACATAGTCCAACACAACGCGCGCGCGCACACACACGGAGGTCCACAGGAGCCAAAGTAGTACAACATAGGGTCAAAGCTGAGGGCACAGCACAACAAGCCCTAAAATCACAAAAAACGCACGCCACACACCACAAGGCCGCCAAAGCGGTCTAGTCGGGCTCAGGGGGAGGAGGCGGCAGCGGGGGTGCCACGCGGAGCGCCATCGAGCGGAGATCGGAGAGGATGGCGGTGATGACGTCCCGGTCCTGGGGGCGGCTAAGCGGCCGCCAAAGCTGCAGGTAACCACACAGTTTACAGATTGCATCAGTCGCACGACGAAGGGGTACCTTCTGAATAACAAGCTTATTGCGGATGTTCCAAAGCGTCCAGGCAAGAACCCCTACGCACAACCATCTAATATGGCGGAAGCGGGTAGGGCAGGCATTAAGCTCGGCAAGCAGGTCGGGGAAGTTGGTATTACACCACTGTCCGCCAACCGTTTCGCGGAAGCAGGCCCAAAGGAACTGGGCGGAGTGGCAGGAGAAAAAGATGTGGTTGGCATCCTCAATGGTGCCACAGATAGGGCACCTCCCATCACCGGGGCCATTCCGCTTGAGAACCTCAACACCCGAGGGAAGCCGGCCACGGATCCATTGCCAAAGGAAGATCCGGATCTTCAGCGGGAGACGGATATCCCAAATCAGGCTAAATGGTTCCGGGGCCGCCGAGGGGGCAATGGCACCGTATAAGGACTTCGTGGAGAAACGACCGAAGGACTCGAGGTGCAATTCCGAAGTAGAATCGCGCAGTTCAATTCATCTCGCACTAATTGCAAGTGGTTTGGATCAAATTACGCTAAGATAAACCTATAGTGTTTTTCCACAGACCTTCTCTTAAGCAAGCATCCACTAATTTGCTATCCAAATCTGTTTGAATTACATTTACACACTGGACTACAGAGCCTCAACTCATATGACAATTTTTTAAATCTCAAAGCACCGAAACATGTTTGCCGACTAGACACAGGGCGCACTGAATGGAGGTATGGCATCAATTAGTCAAGTGAAATAAATCAACAAAAACTAACCACAAAAAATGGCCACAAATGGGAAAAGTCGTTATGTTGATATGGTTAAAAAGTAGACGAAAAACAAATGAGCAGCAGTGTAGTAGATGAAGTAATCAGGAAGATATATCCATTGATTGATCGAATAAATGATTATTTGGCATCTATAAGGATCAGTATATCTAATGTCTCGGAAATGGAAAAGGGCTAAAGTAATGTTAGTTTAGTACATTTGGTTGGATTGATCCCCAGGTACATAAATTTATTCAAGACAAAGCTATAGAATTAGTGCATTAATGTCAATAGTAGCATGTGGGTTACCATTTTCACTGTCAACTGATGTTCTTTCTCCAGCCAATACCGCTTGATGCTTGCTAGGGACATTTTTGCAGAACTGTAACTCCAAAACCAGTCGATGAGCAACTTTCTTTGATCCTGCAATCAGGGCAAGGTTAACGATTCCAGGTCTTCTTTGACTCATTCAGAGGACTGAAGATCACCAAAGCATGGGATCAAGTATCAGTAAGGGCATCCACAATGTGATGTTTTTGCGCCTCTAAGGCCGCCTCTAAAGATTTCTAGTCTGCCTCTATACACTGCACGATTCAGTTTGTCCGCCTCTATGCTTAGCGTCGCCTCCAACACTAGAGGCAGCCGCCAAGTGAATAAACAAGTGGAAGAAAAGAAGAGAGGAGGAAAGAGACCTGCATGCACGCGGATGAGAAGTTGTAACTTGGATTTTTTTATTTGTTGTAGGCTTATGGTGGGCTCCACCTTGAAGGCATGTTAAAATCTTTATACACTGCGGAACTTTCATTCATGCTTAGAGGCACTAACGTGGGGCCCAGCTTAGGGGCTGCACTGCCTCCATACATTGGAGATGCTCTAAGGGGAAAACAGACACTGCAAATTATTGGGTACTATATTATTCCTATTGTTTGAACTTGCAACCAATCAGCTGAACCCAGGGACCGTACAATAACCATACTACCATGACTTAGGATATTCTTTGAATACCCAAAGACAGAAATCGTGTATGCCGCGTCTCAATAACCAGCCTTGACCTGTGCCCTGTTTTGTTGAATCTCTAGCTCTATATTCTACAGCATGAAGAAGCTAGAGCCATTAGTTTGGCTCCAAGTAACACCAGTACTCCAAGGGTTCGCGAGACGCAAACTCTACCCTCACTCTAATATAATTGCCACTAGCATTTTCTGACCCCATGGACAAATGGATCCATTATCCAGATGCAGAGATCTGCATATAGTATTGCCTCAAGCATTGACTAACCAATCCAGTGCTAACTCTTGAAGGACTTGAAGCACCAACAATAGTGCGGCAGCATTAGAGAGTATGTCAAATATCGATCTTAATTTGATCCCTGTGGAGTCAGAAGTTGGGTTGTTTTCACTACCTCCAACTAGTCTGAAAAGCTGGAGCCAAGAGCATGGTGAAAGTGAAACCCCCGTAAATGAAGCCTACAAGCGAAGCCAACATTTAAAGACATTATAACTAAGCACTTTTGGAGGCATATCAGGCTATCAGATTCTCAGCCCTCCGTTCTCGCGATCAAATCGTTCAAGGTCGTCGGATCCCTCCAGCACGCCGTGGAGCGTGATTAGCGATTCGGAAAGGGCCGCTACTCCCGTAGCATTTTTGGAGGCCCATGGTTCATCCGGGTTCGTGTGCCCGTTTGGCCCCATCGAGCATGCCCTTCTCCCCCAGTCCCGACTCGCTCGACTCAACCCTAGCCGCCAGTGCGCCGTGGGGGTCGTGCCGCCCGCCGACGAGATGAAGCACCTGGCCACGCCGCCCCTTCCCAGACGCCCCGGTCGAGGCGCCCCGCGCGAGCGCCATTGCGACGAGCACCTGCTTCCCTCCGTTGCTCCGTTCGAGCGCCGCCGCGATCTAGACATGCTCCAGCGAGGCCGCCCCGACCGAGCTCCTTCGCCACCAGGAAGACCTTCACCTCCGTCTTCCTCTGCCGCCGCCAGATCTTTCTTCTATCTGCCGCCCCGGTCAAGCGCCATCGCCAGCAGGACGTGCTCCAGCGACGCGGCCCCGACCTAGCTCATCCACCTGCACGCCCTCCACCCGGGAGGTCTGGTCTACTTCTTTATGCTGAGAGAGCTAGAGGTAGTACAAGAAAGCTACACACTGATTTGCAAGAGGACTTCAAATTTCAGGTTCCATCCTTTTACAATATTCTTCGTATGTGGTAGTTCTATTGCAAGTGATTGATCGAAGAACTCTTCTTTTCTTGACACTATTGGAAAGCCATTAAGTTTCTAAAGTTCTTAGTTGGACATAATGAATCTTAGACGATCCAAGTTCTTTTGTGTGATTCCCAATGAGATGGTTGTCCACTGCATAATAATAGAAAAGAAGTTGCAAATCTGATGAAATGGACACTGCGTGTTCTGTAACTAGACTATGCCCGTATCATACGCTTCTACTTTCAGACAAGAGAAGCTGCTTACTGTGTTTCATTGTTCTTCTGATGTCCCTATGAAGAAATACAACATAAATTTCTTTTGCCAGGTTTAGTTGACATCATTATAGTGTGCTCTTATTGAACTGGTCTCATGATGTCTATGATGACGTGCAGGAGGGGGATGACCCACACGGTCATGGACATGTTCTGCCCGTCGGCAAAGCAACTCCAGGTACTTGCCATCCCTCACCAAGCCCTCCCTTCGTTCCTACGGCTGACAGTTCATCGAGGAGGCCAGCATCCTTTTCGAAATGTATCCCCCCTCCTCTTGCTTTAACATTTATCAAGGTGAGAAGCATCCCCATGTGCCAGTTTTCTTCTTATTTCAGGTTTTGACAACGGAAGATTATTCACTTTTTACTGTTACTTTCACCAGCAAACCAATGATCACTATATGATACTGATATATCCTCAAAGTTTATCTTAATTTTGAGCAATACACTTTTGTTTATATGCAGAATCTATGGAGTGTGCTTTTGCATGTATTGACCTTGCTTATGAATTGTTTGTACAACTCATTCCAGGTAAAGCTAATGCTTTAGTTACATAAATATCCGATTTAAGAATTATATGCTCGCTTTTTCCTGAAAACATTTTTCCTAATGTATCGTGACAGTGCATGTATGATTGATGGGGAATGGTTATGTATCATGACCTATCTTCCATAATATATTTTATATGAATGTGAGTCATGTTCTTTTTATATTGACATAAATGCTTAGTTATTCATTTTCCAGCATTTTATTTCGTATCTTGATTCTGCAAAGCTAACATATCATCGCAATGGAGTATGTACCTCTAGAATTTTTGTTTGGATCTGTTTAGATTTATATACATAGTCTTTCCAGTTCATGTTGAGCCATAGTAGTATAAAGTATTAACATCAAATTTTCTGGGTTATATAATTTTAGCCTAACCTAAGATGGAGTACAACCAGTGGCTGCATTTAATTTTCCATTTCATTATTATTTTCTACCTATCCTTATTTCTTTTATGAAGTACTCATGTGCTAAGTTGTAAGCTGACTTTTGTGTTAACCGTTTATTTCTTTTTGTCCAACAAATCTTTTTATTGTGACTAGAGGTACCTCCTAACTCGGGTGGCTGAATCTCCTTGTATACTATAACTTCAAGTATAGCTATGGTACCTTCATAGTTATAGTCTTATAAAATAGATATTGACCATTTTCACTTATTTCAATTATATATGCGTGTACATTCTAGCCACTATTGTTGCTTTTGTGATGGCACTAAGTATCTGTCAAAATTGGAAATTACCATATGTATGTGTACCATATTGTTGCTTTTGTGATGGCACTAAGTATCTGTCAAAATTGGAAATTACCATATGTATGTGTACCATGTACCTTAATGGTAGCTATTGCAACATGTTTGCTCTAATTATATTTTCCTATTGGATTTCGCAACTGTTTTGTTTATGTCACCTCCAGAGATATCTTGATGCATCATTGGTCTTCATTTTGACACTTGTTTACATTGATGCGAATTAACTTCTGATTTTTGTCTCTCCAAAAAATAATAAAAAACACCTACCATTTTATAGCCAAAATAGAAGGGTGCAGCAACGCGCGCCATAATGGTCTAGTGTCTTAACATATAATGGTATGCAAAAGTGGATCAGACCTTCATCAAGCAGTTTTGGAAGGGATTTTTTTTTCTTATGGCAGCAAGAGCAGATACACTTCAAAACTGGCCAGCAGACCAAATATGACTGTTCCTGCCACAACCTAAAACCAAAAATATCTGTCACCTCTAAGTAAAATCTAGCTGCAAATGACAAGTGTTCCCGCCAAATTCCCGTAGGATAAACTCCCCAGCATCAAGCAGCAACCGAAATATCACTTTCACCTATGCCAACGCTTAGGTCTAATATAAGACGATCCAGAATGTGTCGCGAGACCTGGCCGTGGGGATTAAAAGAAACACAGGAAAAAATGAAGGAAAAATCCACGAGAATCCATGCCGAGCACTTAGAACCAGAAGATGATTTTTCTTCCTGCGGACGGGGGTGCACGGTGGAAGGCGGCGACCCGCCGCTTCGCTCCGCCTCTTCGCCATGGCGCAAGGTTGGGGACAGTGGAGCGGTGCCTACGGTAATATTCGGACGCGCGAGGGGCTTACACGCAAAAGATACCAAGCCAATGGGCCATGGCCTTTTTCTGAACAGTCCACCGCAGCCAGCGGCCCAGAACAGTTCAGTCCAGTCCAGTCCATTCCGGCCCACCTTACCTTCCCCATGTCCCTGCGGCCCAAGTGCGACCCCCTAAACCCTAATCCTGGCACTGGACGGCCGAGGCCTCGCGACCCCGCCACACACCCCGCATCGGACGCTCAGGAAGCGTCCACGTCCCCCAGACGCCTCCTTTATAAAACTTCCTCCCCGCACCGAAGCTCCAGTCGGCCGCCTCCCCCCCTCCACCCCCTCCCCCAGCGTCGCCTCCCGTTCGGAACCCCAAGCTCCCCCCGCCGCCGGCGAAATGGTACGTCCCCGCCGCCGGCCCGCGCCTAGCCCACGCCGTTCCACTGCGCTTCGTCCTCCTGGACGCATCCCGCGCGCTTCGTGTTTTCTGCGGTTTGATTTGATGTTTGAATCTCGTTCTAAGAGTGTGGATCGCGAATCGTGCAGGCCCCGAAGCGAGGCGGCAAGGCGCCGGTGCCGGCGAAGAAGAAGGCGGCGGTACTGCACGCACTCCTCTGCTCCTGCGTGGAATCTCTGCGGTGTCTCTCCGTCCCGGAGCGTGTGATCTGACTGGGTGGGTTTGGTGTGTGGTTGCAGGACAAGGTTGTGAACCCGCTGTTCGAGAAGAGGCCGAAGCAGTTCGGCATCGGCGGGGCGCTGCCGCCCAAGAAGGACCTCCACCGGTTCGTCAAGTGGCCCAAGGTCGTGCGCATCCAGCGCCAGCGCCGCATCCTCAAGCAGCGCCTCAAGGTTCCCCCGGCGCTCCACCAGTTCACCCGCACCCTCGACAAGAACCTCGGTATATACATACAGAACTCGTCTATTCATCCGTCATTTGACACGGAGTCCACAATGCCTGAGGACGTTTGTAGATGTACTCTATTATTTTGACTTGTGGGTATGCAGTAGCTAAGTGAGCGAGTCTTTACTTCATCAAGGCAATGAAAAGAGTTGATGTGTGTGTTTTAAGGTTCCTGCTCTTAGGATACATTGGGAGCTCTCTTCTTGCATGATTAGGGCAAATGTATGCTGTTCTCCTACACACCTATATTTCTTTACTGAATATATTGACATGCCATGACAGTATGAAGTAATAGAATGGCTAGCACAAGCTTTCGCTTCTAACTTCTAAGGATGCCAGCAGTAGGAAGAAGCATTGTTGCTATGTTTGTACCTGAAGTCACCCCTTCTATATTAGCATTTCCTTTATGTTGCAACGTGTTTACTTGCTAGCTCATTAATTATGCTGTATTGTATAGCAACAAAAGCAGCCAGTGAGTAGTTAGACTAGTTTAAGTTCAATTCCTCTGCATACAGCGTCACTTTAGTTTCTGCAAAAACTTTGTTACAAATCTCTGATATGAATTGCTTGTTGCAGCCACCAACCTGTTTAAGATGCTTCTCAAGTACCGCCCCGAGGACAAGGTGGCTAAGAAGGAGAGGCTTCTGAAGAGGGCCCAGGCTGAGGCTGAGGGGAAAACCGTTGAGGCCAAGAAGCCAATTGTTGTCAAGTATGGTCTTAACCATGTCACTTACCTCATCGAGCAGGTACTGATACGAGTTACCTCTTTGTTTGACCTAATTAATCCTTATTCCTAGCTTCTTTTGTGGCTGCAATAATCAGTCTTATGATCAATCCTTGTGTTTTGTGCTGCAGAGCAAGGCACAGCTGGTCGTCATCGCTCATGATGTTGACCCAATTGAGCTGGTTGTGTGGCTCCCAGCCCTGTGCAGGAAGATGGAGGTTCCATACTGCATTGTTAAGGGAAAATCACGCCTTGGATCGGTATATATTCTCCTGCCACCTCCTGTTCCACACCTCTGAAACAGTAACTAGAAACAAATGCTCACTTTGTCTTGGTCCCCTATAGATCGTCCACAAGAAGACTGCCTCAGTTCTGTGCCTCACCACTGTGAAGAACGAGGACAAGCTTGAGTTCAGCAAGATCTTGGAGGCTATCAAGGTATGTGGCTCATGTAACCTTTGCTATCATTGATATGCAGTCCACTTGTGAACACTTCTAACGTCTCTGGTGTCCATTATTCTGCAGGCTAACTTCAACGACAAGTTCGACGAGGTCAGGAAGAAGTGGGGCGGTGGCGTCATGGGCTCCAAGTCGCAGGCCAAGACCAAGGCCAGGGAAAGGCTCATCGCCAAGGAGGCTGCGCAGAGGATGAACTAAGCCTAGCCTTATATGTGAGAGCATATGCCATGTAGTTTCCCTTTCAGTGTGTCCTGATTTTGACGAGGAACTCGAACCCTTTTAGCAGCAGTGTGGAATCGTATTGTGGTTTTCTGATTCTCTGTTCCCTTCTCCAGACTTATGCAAAGATCAGATGAGGTTTACCCATGTTTGGATTCTATATAGTTTTATGTCCTTTGTCGAGTCCAAGTTTGTTGTGTTTGACATCTTCCTAACTTGGCTGGGTTTTGGTTAACATGCAATGACAACGAGCTCAATCTGTTTGTGAATTTGTGACACATCATACGCAGGAAATTTATGATGTCGAGATCATTTCACGGAGGCAAATTTTGGTTAAATCAGTAGGGTGCTGGAACAGAGTTTAAACGTGTATTGTGCCCAATTTCCCTAGCATAAAACATTCGTTTCTTTTTGCTATCGCTTTTATATACACTACCTCCGTCCGGGTTAATGGTCTCATGCATGTTTATATCTACTCCCTCTGTTCAATCTACACTCTAAAATACGTCCGTATACATCTATATAGTTCATATTGAGACGATGCTTCGCGTTAAACAGCCGCGTCCCTAATCATTTTACTTCCTTCTAGTCTAGGTTTTTAGGCTGTTCATCGTCTTTGCTTCGGTGTTCTTCGGATCCTTCGTTGACAAGGCCATCGGTCCTATGGTTGGGGATGGATTTGGACACCAGTCTGTTCGGTTGGGGATGGATTTGGAAACCAGTTTATTCTGTTCAAGCCAGGATGGCGTGGCGGCGGCGGCATTCTCGTGGTGAACCTGTGTCCTTGTGCTCCGCCGTTGCGACAATGTTTGCTCCAGCGTCGGTGCGGAGCTTGGGAGGTAGTTCAGGAGCGGATGCAGATTGTGGTCTGCATTGGCGACATCTGAAAGACGGAACATGTGCTGGATTCCTGGTTCGTGGATGACAGGTATGGTTTCCTTCTGTGTCGTCTTAGTCGCGGTGGGGTGTCAGATCTGGAGTTCGATGGCATGTCCCGGATGTTGGCCCGGCCTGATTCGTTCAACGATAAGGGCTTCACTTTTGGCGAGCCACCTTGAAGGTCTGCAAAGCTGCATATCAACGATGGAGCCGCGGTGAGCTTGGGTGAGGAGGTGATTCATCATTCTTTTCTTCGATGGCTGCTGTCGTGGTGCCGGAGGCAGGTGATATGCCTTGGTGTCAAGCTCAAAGATGTTTTGCTATCTTTTCAATTTTATAATGTCAATCCTTACATGATTTGTACTTTAAACTTTCTCATATAAACGAGACACCTATTATCATGAAAAAAAACTTATATTCAGAAATAAAGCAATTAGTAGAGAGATTGAAGCTCTCCCGCTCTAAAAAGACAAACAGAGCACAGAGAAATGGAAGCTGTCCCCATTTTGGAGGGATCACGGCTCCACAGGCGTCAAATTGACTGGTACGCTTGTTTACATTTTCTTTGGTGAAGTGGTTTATTTAAATACCCAAAAATGGCGTCACCAGCTTCTCTCCAAAATGGATGGACCCGTGCTGACTGCTCACCAGTGGCGGTGCCAGAATTGCAGTCTTGTGTTGTCAGTTTCAAATTGTGTAGTCAAGTATATCAATTTTGCAAAAGAAAAAATCGACAATTATGCATGCGTATGCTAGTTTCATCAAAAAGCTGGGTAGTTAATTGACTACCCAGAGTAAATATCCTACCTCATGGCAAGTCATCCATCCCTTCTGGTCATCTCATAAAAGGTCATGAGATTAAAAAAAAAAATGGGAGGACGTACAATGAGGCCGTTCTTCACGATGGAACCACATGTGTGATCAATAGTCTCTATAGGAACCGGGGCCTCCTCGGCGGCCTGACAGTTCATTCGCTTCTGAATATCAAGAGGTGGCATTGCCGCATTCGCTTTGTGTCAGAACTCCTAAATGATAATGGATCAGGGAACTATGAGTTGCTACGAAGGTACTTCCAACCGGCGGACGTGTCTGAAATCATCAAAATTGCAGCTTCCCCAAGGCTCGAGGATGATACGCTCGCTTGGGGCCCCAGCAAGTATGGTACCTTTTCTTCGTTTTGCATTTGAAGAGGCGCATAGAAGTTCGGCGACGGGGTCAAGCACTAGACCAGATGGGCGTCGATCGTGTTGGCAACTAATATGGTCCTGCGATGTACCTCCTACAGTCCGCAACTTTGCCTGAAGAGTGGCTACTAATTTCTTGCCCGCATGACAGAACAAGCATGCTAGGGGTCTTGAAATTGTTGGCATATGCCCTGTTTGCTCTGTCGAAACCGAGGACAACTTGCCGCATTCCCCCTCCCTAACATGGCGGTCATGGTGTCCGTCTTGTTCGTGTTGGTTCTAGGTCCCTCCAGCAAACTGTGGTCCGAGTTCTGTCTAGTCCGGACGAGATCAAATCATTCCAGCTTCAATCATCCTCACGCGCACACACCATTCTATCCAAATCTCAATCTCAATCGTGCTCTCATCAGATCTGGTGTATCGATCCAGCAGGCTACTGCTTCTCAACGAACCTGGTTCCTCTTCTCAAACATTGATAGAACTCTCACGAATCTCTTTTTCACTTTCCCACTTTTTCATCCACCAATAAAATCCTTTGAGTTCTAGCTAGGGCATGCATTTGAGTTCTTTTGGAATCCTAGTTGGGATGAGTTTGGCGGCGGAGGATAAGTGGAGTAGGGTGTCGCAGGAGGCGGTGATTTGCGCAGGCATCTCCCAAGGAAAGAGTCCAGCTTCAGGATGGAAGGTGTTGAGAGGATTAAAGACATTGCAACTATCTGAAGCTGAAAGAAGAGGGGTAAAGATCAGTAAACGAAGCAACAGTTTCTCATTCAATGTGAAGCCACAAGCTGTTGGAAAACTAATGTCAAACATGCCGGATAGAGTGGATTCCCTCAGAAGCACCCTAGGCTGGATTAGGTGTACATTAAAAGGAATAGAGTGTAAAGATTTGGGGATGAATAGATTGCTATTCACCTTCAGA